TTTGTATTTTAAATTTTTAAATTAACATTATCACTTACATTTTCTATTAAAAAATTTAAAATATCACAAAAAAATGTATTAAATCTATAAAATTATTTTATTCTAAACTCTGAAGTAATTTTTAGATATATAAGTTTTGGAATAAGATAATTATGCAATACCATTAAAAAAAATTTTGAAAATATAAATTTATACACTAAAAATGAATAGTAAAGTGTATGATTTTGAAAAATTCTTACTTGCAGGTCAGTCAGGCCGGGTTCGATCAAATTTGACCCATTTTTGGTGGGTCATCTCGGGTTCGATCAACTTAGTGTTCGGTTATCAAAACTTTTGTTCAAAACCTATCGTTTTGAAATTCGGTCTCATATCGAAAACAAGTCGGATCATTTTTTTGTCATGTCTACGGGGAGAGTATATGCATCTATAAGGCCGGCTTTGAAAAAAAGAGGGCCAATGGGAGGCAGCGGTTACGGGGGTAAGGTGGTAAATAAACATGTATATAAATTACCGCATCCAGCGGAGCGGGTTACACACATGCACGTGCCAGTGGCAGAGAAGGACACTTGTTAGGGTCTGGAGGGAGGGAGCGACTGCGCCTCCGCCACGTGTCGGCTACGTGTCCCCCGCCACCCATGCAGCGCCGGCCGCCGCCTCTCTGGGCGAAACTTTGTCGTGGATCTTAGCGCGTCTCTTAATTTTTTATTTTTTTATGATCATCCCATTTTATTGGATCGAGTATATAATTCTGCTTACGTCGGTCCCTATGCACAGCTACTTTCTTTTCTTCGTCATCACCAAGTCTAAGCATTTCAGCTCCAGAGAATCCACAGGTACGTCGTACGTCTTCGTCGTACACAAAATAAACTTCCAAATCCTAGTAAAATAATTCTTGAATTCTTCCCTAGTTTCAATTAAAGCAATTTAATACTTCGTATTTGGCATCTCACAACCTTAATAATGAATATACCGAGTATTTTAACCTCGATATGATAGGTAAAAATCTTAAAATTGATGTGTCACAAATTAAATAATACCGGGAATGAAAAATCTTATATGGAGTAACATTTTACACATAATATGATTTGTTTTATATTTTCATAAAACATATCAGAGTTAAGCTAGTTTAACTTTTATTGTTATTTTTAATGATGGATGTCAACTTTCTTTGCATATGTTGGTGAATTTTTCATTTTTTTACTCTTTGTGGTCAATTTAGTTTTAACCTAACGTTTACTGATATTTTTAGAACACTTTACGTACTTTGTTACATTTTGTAATATTTCTTTGTCATACAATAAATTTTACGGAGTACATGCTTACTGTAACAAAAAAAAACATTTGGCTGGGAATGCCAATTCTAACATGATAGGCATATCTGTACATAGACTTACCCGAAGATGTTAATGAATCATAGGCTTCGTTCCTCAAAAAAAATGAAGAGCAACTTCGTTTCTATTTGTTTGAAGAAGAAAGTTTGTAATGAAGATGAAAGAATATGTACTTTCATGGAAAAAATTTGTGGACTTTCCAAAATGGAAAGTGGAAAAGAAATTATTAGGGGGAGAGAGTATATGTAAGGCTATCTGTAATGCCTCACCACTGCTCATTCCAAATCAGCAGTCAGTCAGCGCCACATCAGCACTGACTAGCACTGACTGTATTCACCATCTCACTCACTTCACACTTATAATGCCTCACCATCATTGCAATAGTTACACTTTTATTTTTATAAATAATTTCCTTTTTTATATTCAATTTGAATTATATTACCTCCGTCCCAAAAAGATTTACACGTTTTGACTAAAGTTGAAATTAAGGGAGGGATAATTTTGTAACCAAGACCTCTTAGATATCTGATTGAGTTCCTAACCATCCAACTAACGGTACTTGTTGTTACAAATTCGTATTATATTTTATAATATTTCATAATTAATTAAAAAATTTCATACAAATAACTTATCAATTTTAAAAATATAATACGTAGTATTATATAGATATGAGTCAAACACAAAATCATTGATATTTTTTTAAATAAAATTTTAATACTGAGTATTATTTTTTAATATGTAAATTTTATCATTTAATTGAGTAAAATAACTCAAGTGTATTAATATAATTTTAGTCAAATATTATAAATTACTTTCTTTATGTATTTATATATGGGAATGTGTGTGTGTGTGTGTCTATATATATATATACACACACACACACACACACATATATACACACACACACACACATATAGGGGCTGGTTCAAGTGAGAATGCACCTTGGTGAAAGAAATAAGAATAAAATCTAGCCTTTGGATCTGATGCATCGTGCGGCTCAGATTGCATTCAGCACTCAAATTTCGAGATAGTGCATTTTTAAAGGATTATGGTGCATCTCGACATGATGCATTTTCAAACCATCTTAGTGCACCTAATTTTGATGCAATCCTAACCCTTAGATCTCCTAATCTAATGCACTAGATTCNAATAAAATCTAGCCTTTGGATCTGATGCATCGTGCGGCTCAGATTGCATTCAGCACTCAAATTTCGAGATAGTGCATTTTTAAAGGATTATGGTGCATCTCGACATGATGCATTTTCAAACCATCTTAGTGCACCTAATTTTGATGCAATCCTAACCCTTAGATCTCCTAATCTAATGCACTAGATTCATTCTTATTTCTTTCATTAGATTGCATTCTCACTTGAACCAAAATCTATATATATATATATAAAATTTTTAAATATGTTTAAATCACTGGTTCGACCAGTAAACTAGTGAACCAGTACCTTGACCGGTTCGGTCACCGGTCCGGTTCTCAAAACTATGGATAAAAGTGATTTTTTAATAGAAATGGGTAGGAGATTGTGGGACACAATTTTTTTGAAAGGTGTAAATCTTTTTGGGACGGAGGGAGTATCATTTATAAAATAATAATACAAATGAATACAAATTTATTTCATTAATAATATTATATTTTCGTTATTAATTTTTTATGTTATGAATTTTTTTTCCTATTTTTATATTATACGGAGTAATAAATTTTTGCACTAAAAAGACAATCTCTTAAATTATATTTCTATTCAAATTGTAATATTTTTATTCAAATTAAATTCTATCTATTTTTATATAAAGAAATAAAATAAATTTTTAAATATCTCTTGAATAAAAATACCGCTAAAGAACTAAATACAAACAATAAATGATGAAAAAATAATAATAAATGATAATTTACTCTACGAAAAAAAAAAAGAGAAGCAACTAAAAAACTAAACAAAAAACTAAAAAGACAAAAAAAGTGTATAGAGAAGAAAAAACAAAAGAAATAAACAAATTAAAGAAAAAAACGAAGCACTGCAATTCTTCTCTCCGTAATGGTGGCCACAGTGCATGACTCGCGGACACGAGGGGGGCGGTGTTCACTGGGAAGAATTGCAAGGTGGGACACTAAGCTCACAGAAGTGCTCCTTGAGGCATTGCGGACGATCTAATAAGCATCCATCTTCTTGTCAGTTGAAAATTCAGGTGGGACATTATTATTTTTTAGGCGAATTAAGTGCACCGTTTACTCCCGAATTCTTTGAAAATTGCATGGTTTACCTCCGAACATTAAAAAGTGCACCAAATACCCCTGAATTCTTCAGAAATTGCACGGTTTACCCTTGAACAATAAAAATTGCACCAAATACCCCTGAACTCTTCAAAAATTGTATTGTTTACTCCTGAACATTTAAATAAAGATGACAATTTTGGATAAAGGTACTTTGAAAAATTCACAAGGGCCAGATGAATCATATTCGCAATTCTTGTGCGTGGAAGCAACGCACTCCCTATCTAATAGTTTAGGACCAACGATGCAACGTTTTAATTTGTTCAAGGGTATTTGGTGCATTTTTAGTGTGCCAGGATAAATCGTGCAATGCCTATTAGATCGTCCGCAAGAAGATGAATTCAAATATGTTAGATTGGTAGCACCAGAAGGATCTCCCTAGGGGACTTCCCCCTATCTTTCACTCATGGATTTTTGTTTGTTGTAACCTTGTTACTCGCTCTAGCTTGGAAATGAGGTGTTAGGAGAAAGTCAAGAATTAACCTCAATTTCTTCATCCACTTGTTCTTTACATTCCCATTTGCCAACGCAGTTGAAACTCAACTCCTATTGTTACTTGAATACGTGAAGGTTCCAAACTAGTTCCGGTTCTACATTCAATGGGAGGGAGCAACAGTGATCCTGGTGTCCAGCGATGCCAGTTATGGTTTCAGAACCGGTGGTTCCATTTCTGGCATTGGTTTCAATTTCATAACCCTTTTTTTTTTGTTTCATCAGGTTTTTGGTGAAAAACATAAAAATAAATACATATATAAATTTAGTCGGCACTTGTAAAATAGCTACACTAAAAATAGTAAATTCCTATCAAAGTTGGAAAAAAAATTAAAACCTTTTTCGGGATTGGAATGGGTGATTCTGGTACCCCGAACCCAAAACTGGTTCTGGTACCGCTGAGTAAGGTTTTGGTTCTGTTTATCCCTACATGTCTTAAAGGTTCGGGTTCAGGTAGTGTCTCGGAACCAGATAAATGAGGTTTTTAGGGTTTGTGGCTTGGGGAGAAAGAGTATTGAAGTATGGTACAAGTCCCATCAAATCCCATGATTTTAAGGATTGAATGGGACATCTAGAAATTATTTTTGGTATATATTCTATAATTAACTCTCATGATATCATAATAAAGGATCTGAATCTTTATTGCCAAAAGATTTAAGAGATTGTGTTGTCCCTCACATTCATTATTGAAACTTTTATAGCCCGTCCCTGAGGCAAAACTCAACTGGCAAAGACATCAGGTGATCCTTGCTAGCTACCAACAAGGTTGGGCCGGGGTTTTGAATCCCAGAGAGAACTCTTTGGATTCGATTGATCTCTTGTATGGTGAGATTAGTCGTGGCAAGCTTGTTGTCCGTTACGAGTTGAAGCATATCTCGTCATTTAATTGTTTTACTAGAGGGCACGCGGAATGAGCATGGGATGTGAGAGATTCTAGGAGATGAGGTTCATCCTTCTTTAATTATCCAAACTTGTATATATATAGTGATATTCTCAACAAGGAATGATTCATTTATTCCACTAAATTAATGCACAATAGTTTTACAAATCATTTCCTTTCATTTTACTTTTGAAACTCTTTGAATCAGGCGGGGCATAATTAGATCAAAATACAAATGTTATAGGCAATGACATCAGATAAATAGACCGGGAACAAATTTATTTAACCAATAGGTTTGAGGAAATTCATGGCCTTTTTCACTTTTCTTGAAGGATGGATAGTACAATTGCGAAAGAGTAAGGCATTATGAGAAACAAGCACGTGGTGGATAGACTTGTGCGTAAATGACACGTGGTGGATAGACTTGTGCGTAAATGACACGTGGTGTCTAAGGATACATGACTTCGCACATCGCACGGTGACATGAACTGGCAGAGCATGCTTCATCGCATGGCAACTACTCTGCTAAAGTTCATTATTCCGGCTGCGAAAAAGAATTATTAGTCACTCTTAGGGAAACACTTCTCTTACTTTACTTTGACGTTTGAGTAAATTTATTTTAATTAAATTTATATAATTATATTACTCAAGTTTATAAATAATATTTTTATATCTTAAAAGAACATGAAAGGTTTAACAAAACAAGAAATAACATCATGTCTATATTATATTACTCCCTCCGTCCTAAAATTAATTTCCCATTTGACTTTTCACGGTCTCCAATGTGACACTTTGACCATCAATATCTCAATTTTTATATAAATATATTTTATAAAAATTATCTATTTCAAAACTATGTTTCAAAATGGATCTATTGCTTATAAATTTATATGAAAATTCAATATATTTTTTCCGTAATATACGGTCAAAGTTTAAAAAGTTTGACTACAAAAGTCAAACTGAGAAATTAATTTTAGGACGGAGGGAGTATGAAATAAGTAACACAAATAAAAGTGAATTAAACTTGACTGTGTAAATAGTTATATGAAGAGAGTGTATGAGAAGAACATTTTGGCACAGGAAGGAGAGAGACATAATATATATAAAGCCCCTTTCATCCAAATCTCAAATCTTTGCCCTTTATCAGATATATACTACCAAGTTCAACAATGGCCTTTGAGAGGACCCTTCAGCAATTTCGATACAATGAAGCTAATGATAATGAAATGGTGGCAGCTAATGCGTTGGTCGGCTTAGCCAATTCTCCTGTTTCTGGAAGCCGCTCTTCAACCGATTCTGAAGCGTCTGAGCCTTCGCTTGACTTGTTTCTCGGCTGTTTTTCAGTTAATAAACATTAGTCTACTCTTGTTTTATTTGTCCTGTATTTGATTATGCATGGAATAAAATAATAAGTTAGCTGAATTTTTGTAGCATCAAGATCGGGGGACTTGTGTTCCTCACCGGAAGAAAGTAGAAGAAATTTCATTATTGCCGAATGCTTTGGGGTTCAGAAAGAAGTCCCAAATTAGCTCAAGGCTCTTATGCGGCGATGTGGATTTTTCCTCAATAATTGGTGCCTGTAAATCCAAACGGATATTGACAGAGGTAAAAAATTATTTTACTAATGGAAATATGCAATGCAACGATACTAATTATTATTTTAAGCATGCAATTGTGTATCGCATGCACATGAGGAGCGTGTGCCAATTTTCTACCACAATAAACTTAAGCTTTTGGTTACGTTTATGCTAGAATTACGTACAGTTTTTGATCTTCTATTTTATTGAATTATTATTAAATGTATGCATGTTTAGGGGGAGAGGGAAGCAAGAAGGTTGCGTCGAGTTCTGGCGAACAGAGAATCGGCTCGGCAAACTATTCGGCGCAGGCAGGTAATTAACCATTGAAAATTATATTGTTTTCGAGATTGTGTGTGTGTGTGTGCATGTTTGTTTTTACTTTCTTCAATTTAGTATCTTGTGTAGGCAACATATGAGGCGTTGGCAAAAAAAGCAGCTGACCTAGCATTAGAGAATGAGAGTTTGAAGATGGTATGCCCCACGCTCTTTCTCATTTTCCCTTTCTTTTAGCTCCCTTCAAGTTAGCTTTTAGAATGTTTTGTACTCGGTATTTGATAAGCAGTAGCACTTGCATGCGCATTAGAAGTTGAGCAAAATTTTAAATGTGGTCATTATTTCACGAATCATATTTCACATTTTAATGATAGTAAAAACTACGGAGCACTAATTTTATTTTGAAAATGTTATATCTGACTTCTAATTATTTTTATTAAAGTATTTAATTTTTCATTGTGACTTTTTTAAAATAAAATATAGTACTCATATTTTTATAATCTCCTCGTGACTTTTTAAAATAAAATATAGTGCTCGTAATGGAATTGGGGAAAAATCCGTCTATTTCTGCATTTGAAAAAAAGTGGCGGGTATATCCCCAGTTTCTTTATTAATTTTTCTTTTTTTTTCACTGTTAATTATGATGTATAACCTGGTAAATCATTTTTCTCTAATTCCTACTTTTATTAGTGGAGGAATAGTTGGCCGCTAATTAAGCTTCAAAAAATAAAGTTAATATGGAAAGATGTTTTATGTTTCACTGTTATTAAAAATAAAAATAAAAATATGAAAAGTAGCAATGTTGTCCACCTCGCTCTTTGTTTTTAAAAAACGACCATGCTAGAGGTACCCGAAGAAGTGTAACCCAAATAATTCTACCTCAATGGGATGCACAAGACTTTTAATAGTTCACACTGCCACAAAATACGAGTTTAATCAAAAAAATTGCACTGACATTTTGTGTCGGTGTAAACCATTACACACTAATAACACAAGCACAAAATGTTGGTGCATGTTTTTAGGATACATAGTGAGGTATAAGTTTTGGTGTGCCAATAGCTTAATTCTTAAAAAATTGAGATAAAACGGACGGACTAATCCCTCTCTTTTAGAGTGTAATTAATACTTGCCCATTGACCTAAGATATTACATGAGTAATCTTTTGTAAATATACTGCCCTAAGTTAAACAAATATAGTGCACCATATTTTTTAATGTCCTTAAATCTGAAATGAAGGTATTGAGGTGTTATTTATATGAGGGCGTCTAATTTGACACCACGACATTGTTACACCCGTTCCTAAAATTGATGGCTCCGACTCTTCTCCTGCCTAAACCCTCTGCCCAACACCTCTCCTTACCCTGGCATTATATATATTGCCTTGGTACGGAGGGTGCACAAGGGCTATAGATGGGGGTTTACTGTTTAGGGAGAGTTAGGGATGAAAATTATAAGTTTAGTAACGGGGGATCATAGACTTACTCTATTAATATTTACAAGATGCACAGGTTAAAGTAGTCTGTATTATATTAAAGAGTAAATTTTATAAACGGTCTCTTATTACAAGACTTTTCATTTTTCGTCTCCAACTCTAAGATATTACATAAATGATCTTTAATTTTTAAAAATTATTTTATAAATAGTCCTTTAGGCCAAATATAAAAATATAGTTTTTCACATATGGTCCTTGAAAGACAAGTTGTGAAATAGGGTTGTCAAAAATTGAATACCATTTATCTAATATATTAGAATTGGGAACTAAATATAGAAATATACTTGTAACTAGAGACCATTTATGAAACTTACTCTTATACTCCCTCCGTTTGGAAAAAGTGTTCCTATTTTGACTTTGTGTAAAAATAAGGAAGTATTAAATTGTAATTGACTTCCAATTTTGCCTTTGATGTGATAGGTAAAAGTAAGATGTGATGGATAAATTATTAGAGATAAAGTATGATGTGATAGGTAGGGTATGAAAAAGTAAGGGTAAAAGTGGTTTTTTAATAGAAAGTGGAAGTGTTTTGTTGGAAGTGAAAAAAATGAAAGAGGAAGTGTTTTAAAAAACGGAGGAAGTATTATTTACAAGATGCATTAATTAGGTATTGATAATATTTGCTCCTTTTTATAATAATGGATTTGGAGGTACCACCCTATAGAACAGATCATGTTCAAGTAAGGTATTAATAATAATTGCTGCTTTTAGTATTTCTTACTCCCTCCGTTCCTTAAAACCATTCCTATTTTGACTTTGGGCCAAAATAAGAAAAGTGTAATTTTGGTTGATTTTTTAATTTTGCCCCTGATGTGATGGGTAAAAGTAAAATGTGATAGTTTGGTTATTAGTGAAAAAATATGATGTGATAGGTAGAGTATGAAAAAGTAGGGGTAAAAGTGAGTTTTTTTATAGAAAGTGAAAGTGTTTTAAGGAATTGGAAAAAAACGAAAGAAGAAGGGTTTTATGGAACGGAGGGAGTAATTATTACCCTTAGGACATTATTTAAGTTTTGCCTAAAAACACATTAGGGAGTATATAAAATATACGGACTCACAAAGTATACTGTATACATAATTCTTCAAAGTGAATTTCTGGATCTCTATGAGAATCCTTAACCCCAAGTTTTTGCCTTATTTACTTTGCTAAATTAAAGTGGAACACTTTCCTTATTCAGCATTTCAGAATTAGAGACATATCTCACATTTTTCAATCTTTTATATAAATACTATTTTTTTTACTTTTTAATATTTTCTTAAACTCTATTAAATCTAAAGAGTTAGGTCAAATTTGGAGATGGATTAATATGTAGGATCTAAATGTTAATCTCATTTTCCTATTTTTCGATCAGCTAAAAAGAACAGGTTATGCTTAGTATGCAAAAAGGTTTACATGTAGTTTTATACTTCTTGACTACAAATTGTGAGAAAAGTATATTGAATTATAATACTCCCTCCGTCCATGTAGTTTTATACTTCTTGACTTTTCACGGTTTTTTAGGAGTGTTAAAAAGACTCCTGACTTTCCCATTATGCCCCTACTTGCTCTGCCACTTCACCCGATCTGTTACTGCTTTGTTACCAGTTACCACCGCACATAACCTCTCCCACCACCGCCGCTGCTACTACCACTGCCACCCCACTATCACCGCCACCGCCAGTCCGCCACCATCACCCTGGTCCTCACAATCATCGTCAATCCCACCACCGCCTCCGGTCTCACCATCGCCGTGATCATAGTCTAGATCTAGAACATAGATGGAGGAAAAAGAAGGGGGGGAGAGAAGAAGAGAAGAAATATAGATCTAGACTCACCACCGCCGCCGCCGCCTTCATCCCCACCATCGTCGCCGCCATCTTCATTCCCCCATTGCCACCGCCGTCCTCAGCCCTGCAATCTCCGCCACTGCCCTTACCCCACCATCGCAGATCTAGATGGCGAAGAAGAAGAAGAAGAATACGGAGGAGAAGAAGACGAAAGAGAAGAAAGGAGAAAAAGAAGAAAAACAAAGAAAAGAAGAAGAAAGGGAGAGAGGAAGAAATCTGGCAGCGGAGAAGAATGGGCCGGGGGAGAAAGAAAAAAGTAGTGGCGGACGAAAAATGGAGAGAAAAAAGAAAGAGAAATAGAAGAGGGGTATTTAGGGTATTTTGTGTGTTAAAATGTGTAACGAGAAGATCTATGGCGGACAAATAAAAAGGGGAAATGGGAAGATCTATGAGGGACGGAGGAAGTATAAATTTAATATAATTGGATTTATCTTAGGATCGAATCTAGTTTTGATATATCAAATTTTTATAATATTTCTTTGTATAGATTATATTTAATTTATGGTCAAAGCGTGTAACTATTTGACTAAAAATACATCAAAATGGGTAATTCAAAATGAGTAATGTTTTGTGGGACGGAGGGAGTATAAAATTTCATTTTTATACTTAATAGACAAGATTCACCTCTATGTTACGAACAAGATTTATCTAAATCAAATAGATACCTGTTTGTTAAGTGCAAAAGTAAAACTTGATACGGAGTATTTAACATCTCACAACGAATATTTGAAAGGGAAACTCATATTCCGTTTATCTCAATAACCTCCATGACCGTACATTAGATTTATTTGAGCTTTTTTTTCTATGTAGGAGAAGGAGTTGGCAGCAGAAAAGTATAACTGTCTGAGAAACACAAATGATAAGCTAAAAGCCCAGGTTGAGGTGGTTTATTCACATAGCATGACTTTTAAAGATTGATTCTTCACATGTTCTTTCTTTGCTTTTCTTTTTGCTCTGATGCTTTTTTTTCCGCTACTAATACTAGATGACAAGAGCAGCGAAGGAAGGGGTACAAAAATTATATAAGTTTCCTAATTCAAAAACACAAGTAGACCAGTCTTCTTCAACATCTGCAACTCCGAGCTTCTTTTGTGACCTCTCTCCTTCATTGCAATGCAACTGGAGGCATGTTTTCAAAACATCAGATGCTAGCTCTTTGAAACAACATGGAACCCAAAATGGCTGGTCTTTCACCGATACAGGAGAACAAAGTCCACTTTTCGTTTTGCCATTCCCTTCGGCGATCCCCTTTTCCGGCACCAACAATATTTCACTGAATCTCTTGAACCTTCTTTACAATTCCTCTTCCCCTCATGTAAAACACAACGCCGGAGACTCTGATTCCACAAGCAAGGGTGGATGCAACAAGACGGCATTTGGTTTCCCATCAAACCGACTCACCAAAGATATGACCTCACCGTTAATCTTTACTCAAGAGGCAAAATGTGGAGATTGTGACATCACGAATATTTGTTCTACCATTGGACATGTAACTAAAGACTCATTTGAGAGGGACCGAGGTGTTTCGACAGTCTCCATGAAAAAATCGAAAGTCGCCATTGCTGCTATGGAAGCCAGGAAAATGAGGAAGAACATATTGAGACTAAAAAGACGTTCATTGTCGCCCGTAACACATGTTCAAACAGTGGCAGGATAGGCTTGCGTCAGTGCATTTCATCAAGAACCGAGTTACAACATTACATCTCAATTGGCAGTATTTCTTTCTGACCTAGTTAGGCCAGGATTCTTTTAATTTGATGAGATTTGTAGTTCCATGTGTTTGAGGATGTTGGGTATAAATCCTCTCCATCTTCTAGGGTCTAGATATTATATATAGACATCATCCTTTATCAACTATGTACTTTTCTTATACAGCTTACAGAAAAATATGAAAAATACACTCAAGGAACACTAAATTTATATACAACATGCAATGTATAATATATATATATATATATATATATATATATATATATATATATATATCTATTTGTGTGTGTGTGTTCGACCGTTACGAACATTTTTAAGTCCGATGTTAGAATATAAATAACTATTCCTGGGCCACAACCACAAACTTGAGCTTGTGGTTGGGTTGGTTCCTTGATATGGTATCAGAGCCAGGTTGACTAAGAGGTCACGGGTTCGAAACTTAGCGCCACCCAGTTTAAAAAAAATTAAGGTTTCACGTGCAAGGCTCGAAAAAGACTACGCCTGCACGTGAGGGGGCATGTTAGAATATAAATAACTATTCCTGGGCCACAACCACAAGCTTGAGCTTGTGGTTGGGTTGGTTCCTTGATATGGTATGTCAAGGAACCAACTCAACCACAAGCTCAAGCTTGTGGTTGTGGCCCAGGAATAGTTATTTATATTCTAACATCCGAAAATGTTGTTTTTGAAGCTATAAAGTCCTATTTTTGATACCAATCATTTATGATCAATATAAAAATAATTGCTAAAAATAAAAATGATGTTTTGACAAATAAAATCTTATGTGATGTATGACGGTAAGTTAAAGTGTTAACACTCGGCGCTAGGCCGCTATTTTTTATTAAACATTATGATGATTATTATTGATTTTTGATTATGATAACAATTAACTTGATGACTAGTGTGATTAAAATGACAATTAGAACATTTGATTATATTAAAAAATACTGATGATTATGAAAATAATGTATATTGTTAAAGGGTATCTAGAAGAACTCTAAGATATACCCATTTAAAAAATTGATGTTGACTATTAAGGATATCTAGAAGAACTCTAAGATATACTTATGTAACCAATTTAGAAATCTGGGGTTAAAACGTATGTACGGGATCTAGACCGGATATCACCCGCCCGACAGTTCACTGTCCGGTTGGTACGTAATCTACAATACTCATAGGGTGGATTATCGATTCTTGTGTTCTGGCTTAAACTATTTATAGTTTAAGAGCCTGGTAAGAATTATTGCCTTAGAGTAGGATTAGCTAAGAGCTTTGTATAAAAATGATATGACCTTAGATTAAGAATAATTTAAGAGCATTATTGAAATATTGAAAATATTGAATATTGTATATACCATAGAATGACTTGAAATAAAATATTGTGAATATCGTGAATGATGAATGCTTGAATTGTATATTGTGTGCATGATATCAAATGGTTGATTATGAATTGAAATTCAATTTATATGGATGTTCGACGCATTAGATATGCTTACTCAGCTTCAACGCTGACCGTGTAGTATGTTTTTATTTGCTACACGCAGATAAACAAAATGAATGAAGTGTTGGTGGGAGACG